ATTGTGAAAAAAGGAAATGAGCAAATGTCATATTCGTTATAATATTATTAAGCATATGGGACGAAGTTTTAGGAAGAAATATTTTTGTGATGCTGAATCGTATAGTCTTGTTTTTTATAAAGTGATCTTTTTATTCTAACATTTGTTACACTGAACAATGACATAATACTCAGTTAAAATTATTAAAATGCTATTACTTCGCACTGGTAATCAGTCTAGAAATACTCTCTCTCTCTCTCTTTCTCTCTCTCTCTCTCTCTCTCTCTCTCAGAATAATATAAAAATTTTATAAAAACTTTACAATAAAAAACTGTGTATGACGTTTACGCTCGGTCCAGATATATATTTAACTCTCTTTCGGCCATACATTTTATTAAAAAATTGATCACCTACCATTGACATTCTCTTTTTTAAACTCTTGTATACAAAACGTACAAAACTGTTTTGAGTCGGATACCTATACAAATACATATGAAGCAGGTACAAAAGTCACTGGGAACAATGTCAAATAAACGTTTCAAACTAATATTATATTTATTTTAGTTCGAAATAAAAAAAAACACTCATGTTGAAAATCTCATCATTGGACCATGAAACTTTTACGCAAAGTAAAAAGTATTTGCGTTAATTGCAAAATGCATGAGCTATGTAGGCATTTATTTCTTATCTCAATAATTTTATCGGTTGAAAACAATAAAACAGTATCCATAAATTCTTTAAAGATTTTTATTACCTTACATTCGAGGTTCTCCTTTTTACCATATAATTACATAAAATCCACAGTCCAGTTGTATTTGTGTTACCAGTCAAAGTGTGTGTGTAACTTGTATATACTGTAATGATCTCTTACGGTAGTAATTTTCATTGTTACAATGAACAATGTGGCGTAGTGGCACAATGGAGTATTTAGCCACAAAAACTGGCTAAAATTATCTTCTTAGATTTTACAATGTCATTTTAATTGACAAATAAATTTATAAATATTATATGTTCGTATATATTATTAATACAAATTTTAATTTTAAAATTGTTCAGAAATTCTTATAGGCATGAATTCTTTCTGTATCGTGAACGGAAAACTGATTTAAATTACCTCGATGACAAACATTAGGTTTCACATGTAAGTAAAATAGAATTCTGTATAAATTGTTTGAAATCTGATGTACTTTATCGAGTCGATATTTTTTATATTTTTACAAAACCACTACCCTCTTAAAATTAGTATTTTAGATAAGTTCTGGTCTATTTTTTAAATTAAAATTAGAATAATCTTTTATGCGTAAATAAATGTACGTGTCTTACTGCTTTTGTAAATAAATGAAAATCCTATTATGAAATTTAAAGCCCGCTTCAATATGCTTAATATTTTTTAATATCGCTAATCAGGTAATGTAGAAGATAATATTTAGCAGAAAGAAAGCAGTTGACATGATTTCTTTGCAACATAGAAAAATCGTTAATGAGTGAACGGTAATTCAAAAATTGATCAAAAGAGCAACGGTATCGCAAAATCTTTCTACTCCCAACAATGCAAAATGCTTCATGAATAAATAAAATAAAATAAACTAAAAGGTATTGGAATATCGTTTTCTATGCATTCAACTATTTCAGAAAGCGAATACTTCATATTTTACACAAGATTTTTTAAATCGACGTTTTTGAGGCTAAATACTCCACTGTGCGCTCCATGTATATTATCACGTTATACAAACAGTGCTATTTACAACCCTTACACCGTATTGTGTAAGTCCGTGTCGAATGAACTCGTATTATGCGAAGGTCTATTACAGTTTTCTGCTGCTTCGTCAATTTCTATGTCGACTTGAACAACGCTGCACCATAATGAGAACACTCCTCTTTCTGATTGTGAGTACCAGTATGATTGAACACAATTGCGGTACCAACGTACGCCAATAAACAGTTAAACGATAAGAGTGACCACATTGCGGTGTACCTCTCTTTGAAGTGTAAACATTCTCGTTGGTGAAATCATAGACACGCGGGTAGCTATTTCGTTTAAATAACTGAGATTTATGTATATAATACTTCAAATAGAACTTTTTGGAACTATTTCATTACAGGACATTGCTGAAGCGGACTTTAAATTTCATAATAGGATTTTCATTTATTTACAAAAGCAGTAAGACACGTACATTTATTTACGCATAAAAGATTATTCTAATTTTAATTTAAAAAATAGACCAGAACTTATCTAAAATACTAATTTTAAGAGGGTAGTGGTTTTGAAAATATAAAAAATAAGTGCAATTTTTCTAATGAGAAAAAGAAAATCTTCTTAGTTCTTTTTAACCCGAGAAAGATAACCTACGTCGCAGAGGCGCCTGCGAAGACTGTTGATTTTTGTGAATTTTTCATAGAGCTCTAGTGATTTAAGTTTAAAATTACTTAAAATATAAAAAAATATAATATAAATGCATTTTATTTTTACAATAATGCCAAACCTTTAAAATGACTAGATTAACTTAAATAAATATCCATTGTTAGTATAAAATTGACGCCTTAGAAAAGCATGCGCCTCTGAAGCGTATGGTTATCTTTTACGTACGTTGTCATATGGTTATCTTTCTAGGGTTAAAGAGTGATTTTATATTTTAAATCATAGTATACAGAAGAAGTATAAGTCCGCGTTACAGATACTTTAATCTAATCTAATATAATTTAATCAATTTCTTTTCTGAAATTCCAAGTTGTCAAGAATGCGACGTTTCGTAAATACAATTGTGCTATTGTTAGTCGATTCGTAAACCATATAAATGATAATTGAAGTCACGACGTATACCCAAATTAACCCATTGTTCTGCAATTTAATGGAAAGCGGTTCAGAATATACTACATAATTTTGTTTGATGCTTTGTACACGGAACGATGTAAAATGGTTTGTCGCAGGGGTTACTGCGACGGTTTATATAAAATAATCCGAGAGAGTTTTTTTTGGTTTTTATATAACGAGAACTTTAATATAACTTGTAACAAAAGGCGATGAGGTACAGTGTGTAGAAGGTAAAGGTAAACGAGTGACGGATGAGACAGAAATATGAACACGTTGAGAGTCGGAGGAAAACTTGCTAACTGACGTCTCCCTCGAGGTCGAGAGGTCCTCGTATTTATTGGGGAGAACGTATTGAAATTGGTAAGGGAAAGTCCTTGGGAAGGGCGAAGGCCTTTCCCGAAGATTTTCCGACCGGGGTGATCCGGGACCTATGGTCCGAAGCTGTGTCCCAACGTTTTTATTGTTTTATTGCGGTGTGTACGCCTTGCGTCGGGAAAACCCGAAAAAGGCATATGCACACCCCGTTTTTGAAGGACGTGTCTTTTTATGTCTGGTCCGCCACAATGGTCAGTTTACAGTGTAACATATATAATGGCATTACATATGTAAATCCATCGCCAATCAACCGAAAACATTGTTCTGATTAAAATGAGACTAAAGAAACGTCGTGTAATAGCATTGCATATGTTAATTTATGATAAAAAGATTTGCCGAAATGCCATTACATGAAAAAGGGTTAAAACGTCGCCACACTCGGAAAAGAATTAAGATTTTTCGGTTATCACCGATAACTGTTATGAATAACTCGAACAAATTTGCCTCATCGAAAATGATTACAAGACTCCGAAAATAGAATTTTCGTCATCAATAATAATTATTGGCAGCGAAAAACATTTTCGATTACTTATTGTATGTGCGCGTTGGTTTCCAAATGGAATTAAGTTGAACGAAGTCGCCGGTTGCCTTTACGTACACTTTAATAATATTACAGTACAGCTATGGTCTTAGCGATGCGTTATTTGCGTTTTAT